CAGGGACAGTACAGAGGACAATTTCAGGCTTGAAAGTCATGTACAGTACTACACTAATTCTGACGCATTTCTGTAACACTACTGAGGGTACAGCAACCCGATATAGTAGGTATTGTAGAACTGTTGTACAAAGACAGGAGAATCGAACAGGAGGAATGTGAGTTCAATATAGATGGATATGAATTGACTCACTCACGAATCTTTCCCAAGAAACTTGCAAGAGGGGTGTGGTTAACTATGCTAGGCAAGACCTTAGAGTAAGCCAGGTGAGGGTGCAGGAAAAGGATTTTTTCAAATAATCAAAGTGGTGTAAAATTAAACTGAATGGGAGACTTACTCATTATTGGATGTATCTACAGATCCCCAAACTGTAGCATATTAAACCAGTGAAACTAAAGAGCCTTAATTGACAATGTAACGGTGCAGAACCCTAGCCACCTCCTTGTCATGGATGACTTTAATTATGGCGACATCGACTGGAGAAATGAATCCATGCCAAACGACCTAAATAATCCAACCACTCTTTTCGTAAAAACCGAGACAATTTTCTATTCCCACATGTTATTAATCTGACTCACTACAGAGGGGAGCAAACACCCAAACCACTGGAACTCATCATAACTAATGAGGAGGGTATGGTGGCCAATCTGTAACACCTAGCCCCAGTTGGCCACCAGTCACTACATAACGTTGTCCTTCAGATTTAACTGTTACTTCGTTCATGACAAAACAAGGTCCAGGTTCATATAGTACAAAGGAAATTACAATGGAACGAGGGAGGAGTATACACTGGCCCGACGCACTAAGGAATAAAAATGCAGATGCTACATTGAATATCACAGCCAGTCAAGTTAAACCAGTTGATCAATAAATATATACCAAAGACCAAACCCAGTGTCTCTAGGAATACAAGGAGACCGCTACACATGAACCAAGAGGCAGGTGGAAAAGTTAAGAACAACTCAGGATTTTGAGATGTGGGTTAGAACAAATGATGAGCAGGACAGGAAGATGTATGACAGATCCAGGAACCAAGCAAAGTCAAAGTGTAGAAGAGCTGAAAAAGTTACATAGCCAGATTGCTAGTAAGGTCATGTCAAACCCAAAGGCTTTTTACTACTATGCAGAGTAGAAATTAAAAACACGAGTCGGCATATCGGACCGGAGGCTTGAAGACGGTCGTTATGCAAATTCTGATCAGGATAAGCAGGATAAGGCAGAGGCATTGAAAAAAAATTTCGGTGTTCACAAGAGAGGATGCGAACGATCTTCCCGAGTTTGAGGAAAGACGGTTTGATACAGAGTTGGCCCATGTTGTGTTCTCGGATGAAGTTGTAAGAAATAAACTGTCAAAGGTAAAGATTCATAAGAGTCCCGGCCCAGATATGGTACACCCCAGTGTGTTAAGAGAACTGTGTAACAAGCTTGCCTGGAGGAACAAAAGGTCCCCGGCAACTGGAAGATGGCTTATGTGATCATTACTCCACCAATAATTATAGACCAGTGAGCCTGACCAGCATAGTATGTAAAGTACTAGAGAGCATTATAAGAGATACCATGATGGAACATCTGCTACGAAACAACCTTGTAAAGGATTGCCAACACGGTTTTATGCCAGGAAGATCCTGCTTAACACAATTACTCAAGGTACTGGATGTTTGGACTCAAATTTTAGAACAAGGCAGAAATATCGATAATCTATACCTAGATTTTGCCAAGGCTTTTGACAGCGTACCCCCATGAAAGACTGAGAATCAAACTGGAAGGGTACGAGATTTGGGGAAATGTCCTAGCGTGGATCAGAGAGTTTCTACATGACCACAAGCAGTGTGTGGTGATAAATGGTACAAAATCGTCATGTGTACTTGTGACTAGCAGGGTACCACAGGGCAGTGTATTGGGCCAGTTGTTGTTGTCTGTTTCATTAATGACATGCCTGAAGCTATACACTCCTCCATACAAATGTTTGTGGATAATGCCAAGTTATTTAGGGATATTAAGAACCAAACAAACTGCAAAGAGCTGCAGGAAGATCTCTATGAGCTTCAAGAATGGTCGAGGAAATGGCTGCTAAAATTCAATGTCACAAGTGCAAAGGATGCACCTGGGTCACACCAACAGTAAGGAGGCATATCACATGTCGCAACAGACGAAGAGACTGCATTAATTGAGACCAAACATGACAAGGACCTGGGTGTGTATGTCGACAATGAACTTAAGTTCTCGGGCCATTGTGAGAAGGAGAATCAGGCAAGAAAACCAGTAGGTCTTATAGGAAGGTCGTTCAGATATCTAGACGGTCCGTCCCTCGTAATGATCTTCATTAGTGAGGTGCTCCCCCATTTTGAGTACTGTCACCCCGTCTGGTCCCCGAGATATGCTACAACTGTAAGTTGATTGAAAATGTCCAAAGGAGGGCCACCAGACTGGTGCATGCATTCGGCACCTCAGCTACTCTGGGAGATTAGACTGCATGAAATTGCCTACCTTATGCTACAGACAGGCAAAGGTGGACCTAATTGAGGTGTATAAACATCTCAAAGGGCACTACTCAGTCGAGTGTCCTTACCTGGAGCTGGCAGACGCTCGCCCCACAAGGGGTCACAGCTCAAGGTTGAAGAAGCCGAGTGTGAGCTGTTTCAAGACCAGACTTGACAAGCACTGGAGCAGGTTCAGATACACTCAGGAGCCAGTACAAGCCCAGTATTTACCAACAGTGCGTAACAGAGACGTGACCGATCGCTCAAGTGGCTAACAAGGCGATCAGTGGTGAAGAGGATAAAAGAAAAAGTAAGCAAACAAGCTTACAACAGGGTCACTATAACACACTGTATAATATTGTATTTTACGGCATATAAGACGCACCCCCCCATTTCAGCAGGGAGCTTCCAGGGAAAAAAAAATCCTCCTGTAGCCATAGTTTTCTTAAAATAATATATACAGTACCAGTAAATGTGAAGAATAAATAAAAATAATGCCAATAAATATGTTACAACAAAATATACTGTACAGGTTGACAATTCCTTATCCTTGGAAGAGATCCGGAAACTATACTTCAAAGGAAATATCTTGTATGCATCGGTGTGAACTTAATACACCTCGTTATCTAGTGTGACGTATACCCACGAACTATACAGCGATCAGAGAATCTTATGACTGTGTTCAATGCGTGCAATGTGTGAGGGGAGGATCCCTAATTACAGTTTTAGGTGAAGTGGATATACCCACGCTATGAACATTTGAAGAGCAGCTTTTGTTTCAGAGTTAGCGTCCCTTGTACCCGGACTACAGGTTTGAGTTAATAATATCGCCCAATTAATTTCCCCTAGAACTGTCAAACCTGAGCCGTACTTTAGTATGCAATTTAGGATTAAGATATGTATTTATAAGGCATAAGGTCACAATAAAAGGGAAAGTGTTCATGTGAGAGCCATAAGAAATCAAAGTGAAAATTAAAGATTGGAAACTGTAGGTCTAGTCGGTGAGAGGCGGGGGGCATTATCCTCAGTATCACTCGTCTTCCTACGGACACAGATCAGTGTCCTACATCGGGCTCCATCCTGCCCTAAAAAGACTTATCTCGCAGTTTGTACATCTTAAAACCTTGCCTGATGTTATAAAGTGAAGTAGTAATGTGTTAGGGTGGGTGATAACGGTCTATCACGCATTATTTCCGAGTATCACTCGTCTTCTCGCCGAAACAGGTACCAAGCGCTCTGAGCGTCGGCCATTACTCCGTGAAGGCCATACCATGTGAGGTAACTATATGCGGTTATGCTCCCCCACTGTGAAAATATGGATTCCCTGCATATCACCGCCTACGAGTATGTTTGAGCAGATTCGCGGTCGCCACTTAGATCAACCTAGAATACCAGGCGTAGAAACAGTACTGGTATAATCACTTATGGAATACCCCCTCTACTCACCAAGAGCAGTGTGCAAACGAGGTGCCTGATATGTGTACCTAGAAGTATCGAGGAGTTCCATACTTGTAGGTGTGGAGTGTAACCGTGGTGCTGTAATGTGGTGCTATATTGTAACCTAGGGTGCTATATTCTAACAGGTGGAGCAGTCTGTTGCGTTTGGTGTTATGGTAAGAAGGAGTGACCGAGGTAAGGAGGTCAGTGGTTGTTATGAAGAATGAGTACGTTAATGATACGTCATTACTGAAGATGAATATTGTTGGGCAGTGTAACTAAAATCATAGTTGTTCTTCTGAGGAAGGCCAACTCTTCTTGTATTTTGACGGGATGTAATATGTTTTATAAAGAATAAATTAGTTAAGACATGTCTGATATTTCACCCTTCTTCCCACTATCAATTTGGTCAATGAAAAACCCAACCAATGCCTAGCTTACTCTGCCCGCTACCTAACGAGCTACATACTGTCCAGAGGGGGTCTGGTGGCAGCGACATTAAAATTAAGAATAGAGTTAAGTTATCCCCTTAGAAATAGTGACCCCAGAATCTGGTAGAATACTAGCCGCAAAAATGCAGGCAACTTTAAAACTACCCACAGATATTCTTGGGTACATCCAGGGTGTCATCCACGAATAACCGAGAACCGCGAAGTAAAAACCCGCAAACTTGGGGGGGCATTCATTACTGTATTCAAATATCTTTAATTAACTCAAAGGTCACTAGTTAACACTAATTTTTAAATTGTGAACCCAGTTAAGTTTTACCTTTGTATGAAATTTAAACAAAATTCATAGTATGGCCCCAAGTGCCGATACACAAGGTACAGTATTAGGTCAGGCTTTCCTCCATACATCTTCATTGTTTCAGTGCCTCTTGATTCACCCTATCACAGACCTTCCCCACAACCATGAATGCTGTCCATGACAGTCCTGTTTTTGTAGTGTAAAAATATTTAATGAACTAATCTCATGTTATGGTTATGATGACAAGTGTCTCAGTGAACAATGAGAAGTGTTTCCTGGTAATGCTACACGACTACATCAAAGGTTTTCTGGTTAGTATAATGAACTTCAACTCACCTCCTATGGTATCTGTGTCCAGTTAGAGAAAGTTATAACAGCCATCATCTCTCATCTTAGGTCAATGTCAGCAACTGAAGCAACAGTCAACACACCTGGGTTAACAACATCCTACTCCGGCAATCTTCAATGGCAAATAAGTTGACAGCCAGAGCACTGAACCACACCTGCAAAGTAAATGATTTCAACACATTACAGCAATACCTGGGTAATGCGTCATTAAAAAACAACAATTAATGTATACTGATCACAGCTTAATTTACCAGTACAGTGTATACATTAAACATACAAATTACAACGTTCACATTACAGTATACATACTGTATGTAGACTCAATAAATGCCACCAAACATCATATGCTGTCATTAACTGCTTCTACCACCACACCTTCCCCCATCCCTACAGTAGGTTGGGGGACTGGGTGTGGTGATGGGGGAGTTGTGGACAGTTGTTTCAATAAGTAAATGTTAGGTGAGGTGATGAGACACCCTGATTACTTGGGCACAATCAGCTCATTACTTCCTATGCAACAGATGAGATGTTTGATATTCTATTTCAATGTAATACTGGATAGTATGGGTGAATAGGGATGCACCGGGAACTCAATTCTTATGAAGTTGAGGTTCCGGCTGGTACCAGAACTTTTTATAGTGGTACTGGTTACTGTTTCATGAATTAAAATATAACTCGCTGTTAATGCTTATTATTTCTAATGGATCATCAATTGATCAGAGTACCATCCTTGTAGTAGGCAGCTATCAAACAGGAAGGTACTACCGCCTGGGAAGATATTGGAAGCATAATGTACAGTACAGGTAGTTCTGCTATAACGCGATAATTGTGTTCTTGTAAAATATCGTGTTATAGAAAATCGCGTAATAGAAATAACAGGGCTTATTGAGAAAATAGGGTTAGGTGCAGATTACTCGAAATCGAAAAAATTTAGTAGTTAGCCTAACACAAAGGATAGCACAGTCTAAATAAATGTTACATTCATATCTAATAATGAAATCATACAGTAATGTAACACTTTACTTGATGGGGGAGAAGGGTGATTTTGAGGTTGATAAAATCGAGCTTCTCTTCAAGTGTTATATCCTTTCTTTTACGATCATCACCAGGAATTCTATCACCAGAACGCTTCTTGCTGATATTCTTCTTTACTATATTCACATTATTTAATTTTTTTTTCTTCTAATTTATTGTTTTTTTATTACAAATATTAATGATATTCATTATTTCAGGGGTTTAGATGCATATTTATGCACTTTTTTACAATTTTTACAATTTTATATTATATTTTTCAGTGTTAAGTGGTTGTATTTGGGGGCCTGGAACGGATTAATCCTATAACGAACGAATGCTATAACAAACAAGGTTCTAGAACCAATTAGATTCGTTATAGCATACCCCACTGTACCACAAAATTGGAGAAATAGTAAGCAAAAATCGCGTTATAGCAAACAAGCGTTCGCGTTATACAAATATCGTTCCTAATTCATAAATCGCGTTAGAGCAAATTCGCGTTATCAAAACACGCGTTATAGCAGAACTCACTGTACTGTATTGTCTAATGGTAGACCCTGCTGCCATGTGGCATCACAAAAATTGTGACCAAGTCCCAGGTTGCTGATCTGACTTTCTGCCTCATTTACACACAATTGCAGGGTCTCAATTGTTTCTCTTACTACTGACAACACAACATACATATACAGCTGCTCCTCGACTTACGACAGGGTTAGGGACCCAAATCCAGGTCATAAGTCGAATTGGTCATAAGTTGAAAATGCTTGAATAATACATAAAAAACCTAAAACGGGTGTCTCTTTTTCTTCTCAGCACCACAAAACTCTCACTTTTAAACTTGCCAGCCATTTTAAAGTGAATTACAAACGAAAATTTTGTCAGTACAGTGAGTTCTGCTATAACGCGTGTTTTGATAACGCGAATTTGCTCTAACACGATTTGTGAATTAGGAACGATATTTGTATAACGCGAACGCTTGTTTGCTATAACGCGATTTTTGCTTACTATTTCTCCAATTTTGTGGTACAGTGGGGTATGCTATAACGAATCTAATTGGTTCTAGAACCTTGTTCGTTATAGCATTCATTCGTTATAGGATTAATCCGTTCCAGGCCCCCAAATACAACCATTTAACACTGAAAAATATAATATAAAATTGTAAAAATTGTAAAAAAGTGCATAAATATGCATCTAAACCCCTGAAATAAAGAATATCATTAATATTTGTAATAAAAAAACAATAAATTAGAAAAAAAATAGAAAAAAATACAATTTAAATAATGTGAATATAGTAAAGAAGAATATCAACAAGAAGCGTTCTGGTGATAGAATTCCCGGCGATGATCGTAAAAGAAAGGATATAACACTTGAAGAGAAGCTCGATTTTATCAACCTCAAAATCACCCTTCTCCCCCATCAAGTAAAGTGTTACATTTACTGTATGATTTCATTAATAGATATGAATGTAACATTTATTTAGACTGTGCTATCCTTTGTGTTAGGCTAACTACTAAATTTTTTCGATTTCGAGTAATCTGCACCTAACCCTATTTTCTCCATAAGCCCTGTTATTTCTATTACGCGATTTTCTATAACACGATATTTTACAAGAACACAATTATCGCGTTATAGCAGAACTACCTGTACACAGAGCAATCACTAACGTTGGGACTCGAAAATACGTAATTTGACAAAATTTTGGTATGACTGAGGCGGTCGTATGTCCGGGTGGTCGTATGTCGAGTAGTAGCTGTATTGTTTCTCACTACATATTGATTTCTTTTTAAATTTTGGTATTTATGGTCATTTATTATTATTATCATCATTATATATTTTATTTAAAAAACTATCATTTTTTAATAATTTGTATTATTATCATTTTATTTTCGCCCCCCAGGCCCTGATGTGGGTCATTGACCTGTGCCCTGGTGGGCTAATTCCGTAAAAATCTGAGGGTTGGGGACCACAGTCCTCCTCCACTCTTAAATGTTCATGGGCTTCTTTCCTCTATGGGTTTGTAACTCTGGGGGCCTGGTTAGGTTAAGTTAAAACTTCAAATACAAACACTTTTTTACACATTAGCCATGACTACGAGTGTCCACTATAAAACAGTGATATTGCGGCGTTTTTAAAATTGTTTCCCACGATAAATCGGCAGTGGATCAGTCGTTAATAATTATTTAAGGAAATAAAGTGAGATACTGTATAAAGTAATAATTAGAGCAAAATAAAAAATATAGTTCCCCCCTACAATGATTAGCAGCGGCCCTAAAAAGAAACCAACGACCATCTCAACAGGAGTGTCTATTTCAATTTATATAGGATTTAGTTCTTCATTTTTTTCAGATGATATTTGGATGAGTAGAAAATTTGAAATGAAAATGCACAGGTTGGAAGTTAGGTGAGGATAAGTAGGTTAGGTTCTAATAAGTTCTGTGAATGCTTGCTTCCATTTTTGTGTTCAGTATCATAAAAATTTTATCTCCAGAAATCTTGGTTCAATTCCATAAGTTATTTCTGGTGCTAACAGTCTTCTCCACCTTTACAGTTTTCCCTATTTCACAGTAAACAAACACTCCATCCAGCTGGGGACAATTTTTCACAGCAAATCTAAATACCAAATCTAAGCACAGTATGGTAATACTGTGCTTATAAGATTGTGGTCTGATCTTGGCACCAAATTGAGAAATTTCTCCAAAGAAGAAGTTTTCTCACCATAAGGGGACAAAAAGTGCAAGAGGAATGTCTTGTGAAAAATAACCTTTTATGCCCCAAATCAGCGGAGGAAGGCAGTAAACACAACTTTACGACGTGCGTCAAGCTTTAGACTGTAGGAGTGGTCCCCTATTACAATATGGAATTGGATTTGATTTTGGAAATATAATAGAAATATTTTAGGTTAAGTTTGGTGGGTTAGCAAATGGCTAATACGCTGGGACTGCCCAGTATGGGCCAATAGGCCCGCTGCAGTTTCCTCCATTCTTGTGTTCCTGTGTAATGCATTCTCAAGAAATAATAAATATAATACTTTTACATGTCAGAGAATTGTTCAAAAACTGTAAATGATAGAATAAAAAAAATAATAAAATTCTTATTGTTACTTGGTCCTCCAGGGTAGTAGGCAGCTACCAAACAGGGAGGTACTACTGCCTGGGAAGATATTGGAAGCATACTGTGTTGTCTAATGGTGGACCCTGCTGCCATATGTGACCAAGTCCCAGGCTGCCTCATTTACACACAATTGCAGGGTCTCAATTGTTTCTCTTAACATTGACAACACAACTTACATATATTGTTTCTCACTCTTGATCTTTATAATTTTATTTCTTTATAGTTCTTTATTGTTAGTATTGCAGTTATTATTGTTATCATTATTATTTTATTTTTTAAATTTTACTTATCTGAATTATCATCATTATTATTATTATTATTATTATTATTATTATTATTATTATTATTATTATTACATCTCGCTCCCCGTAAAACAACACAAAACACTGGTGATCAGTTGCTGACTTACACAATTATATCTTTATCGGGCAAAGTCCTTATAAATCTACTTAAGCGGCTAATGAATCTCCTCTGACATTTAATCAAAGTTGGTAACTAGTCCACAGACCTTTACAGTGGTAATGAGTGAGTAAAGAAAGAAATATGGCGACTTGCTCATCACAACACACCGGCAGCTCCGGAAATACTGTACTAGCCTATATACCTCCACTCAGGCAGTGTCTTGTCATATATTATATTATAAACTGTACATAACACTATAAACTTCTAAAAATTATCATATAATTCAACTTATCTTCCATTTAAACACCCAAAAGCGTCCATTAAGTAGCAGACACACCGACATCCCTCGACCACCATGACACCTCTCCAAATTTGCTGATGGAGGTACACGTCGACCAATCACAGACCGTCTTGTACCACCTGCTGAAATTAACCAACCAGATGCCAGCTTACAAATGGACTACTACCGTGAAGGAGTGATCAGTGTAGATGGATAAATAGATTTGTTCAATAAATATTCCATTTATTATGTCAATAGACAGTCGTTAGTAGTCTATATACACGAACAATGGTAAATTATAAGTAGATTATGCAAGGGTAGTCCAAGGAAGGTGTTAAAAGAGTATGTATTTGTTCTATTCATCAGTGTGTGTAAAAAATAAACATCACGAGTCGATGCATAATGTAAAATGTACACAATGATTTTGTATATATTAAACATATTGAGAGAGAGAGAGCACTTATATTGATGTGTATTACTGTGTTACTATTTCTCATACGGTTCACTGAACAGGTCACACAGACTGACGGGTCAGTTATTCTACAGTTGTGCCCGAACAGGAACACATTATACAGGGTGTCTAAAAGAAAATTGTATGCACACTGCCTTACAGATTGTCGTGGCGATCGTATGAATGTTTGTATTATAAGAGTATTATACCTCACTTGTAAGACCTCACAGTTTACTTTCACACCAGAAATGTTGATTTATAGATGTCAGTCCTTGAGTGAGTGTTTGCAACGATATTTACAGGGCAGTACTCAGGGGCTGATCCAAGAATATCAAAAGGGGCGGTCCAAGAAGTTGTAGGTGGGGGTACAGGGCGAGCGCAGGGAGCCCACCCAGAATTTTATTTAAATCTAACCAATATCATGGACATTTGGAGGCCATTTTGAAGCCATGCGTACTTGATATTAGGGGATATTCTCAAGTCAATTGTAAATACTATTACTCTACAAAAACGCCTGAGTACAACACTGCATTAAAGAAACAGTATTGGAATTTTCTGGTGAATAAGGGGGGTCCGGACACCACCCCCCCCCCCCGGATCCGCCCTTGATGTGAACACCATACACAGAGATAGACTCTGTATGCAGGGGCTGTTCTTTGACCCAGTAAAAAGCATTAGAGGCTGTACAGTTGGTCTTGCATCAGGGAGAACAGTAGTCTCACTTAACCTCAGTTCCTAGTAGACCACACGCTATAGCAGCACCAAGTGATGTCACTTGAAAATTGTTTCAGGTAGTTACCCTAAAATATATCACGTTTTCTCTTGTACAGTACAAAAGAAAATGTTTTATGGCTGACAATTTTATTACTTTACTTTTATCGTCGTCGTCACGGATCGGCTCCTTGGGAGGTCGGTCAAGTCTCTGTTACACACTGTTGGCCAGCAGTGGTGCCTGCACTACGGCACCTTAGCTACCCTGAGAGATTATAAAGCCTGATATTGCCTAGTTTATTCTACAGACGGGCAAGAGGAAACCTAATTGAGGTGTATAAACATCTCAAGGGGCACTACTCAGTCGAGTGCCCTTACCTGGAGCTGGCGGACGCTCGCCCCACAAGGGGTCACAGCTCAAGGTTGAAGAAGCCGCAAGCCCAGAAAACTGAGGGGTAACCTTTTCGGAGTGAGAGTTGTGAACTCTTGGAACAATCTGCCAGAGAGTTTTGTGACGGCACCGAGTGTGAGCTCTTTCAAGACCAAACTTGACCAACACTGGAGCAGGTTCAGGTACATTCAGGAGCCGGTGCATGCCCAGTACTTGCCAACAGTGTGTAACAGAGAAGTGACCGATCGGCCAAGCGGCAAACGAGCCGATCAGTGGTAAAGAGGATAAACTACAAAAGTAAAAAGTAAAAGTTTCCCCTGCGAGGTGAGACCCACAGGCGAGTTTTCTGTGGTGGTCGAGATTTATTTTGGGTTCATAGACCGCAGCCAGGCAGATATGAACCAGGGGAGGAGGAGGGGGGGAGGAGGAGGAGAATAAGAAGCAGAAGCAGGAAGAGGGAGTAGGAATAGAAAGAGGAGGAAGGAGGAGGAGGAGAAGCAGGAGGAAGAGACGAGGAGGAGGAGGAAAAGGGAGAAGGAAAAGAAGCAGCAGGAGGGGGAGGAAAAACAGGAGGAATAGAAAGAAGAGGAAAGAGGAGGAGGAAAGCAGGAGGGGGTAGAGGGAGGAGGAGGAAGAGAGGAGTCTTCTAGGAATAACTGAGACATGAACACACACATACCTTACTGTTTAGGCCTAACTTCTCGTCACCGAACCAATCATCCGTAACCAAACGATTTATACATAACTAATGATGATGATGATGATGGTGATGATGATGATGATGATGATGATGATGATGATGATGATGGTGATGGTGATGATGGTGATGATGATGATGGTGATGATGATGATGGTGATGATGATGGTGATGGTGGTGGTGGTGATGATGATGATGATGATGATGATGATGATGGTGATGATGATGATGATGATGATGATGATGGTGATGATGATGATGATGATGGTGATGATGATGATGATAATACTAATAATCTTTACAAGGTCGTTCACTTAGCACAGAATGTAACCTTTATCTGTCTTTAAGTAGAAGTTGGTTCGTTAAGTATCACGTTAAGTATTTTGGTTAGGTTAGGTGTATGAAGGTCTTGTGGGATTAGGTTAGGTTAGGCATATGAAGGTCTTGTGGGATTAGGTTAGGTTAGGTTAGGTGTATGAAGGTCTTGTGGGATTAGGTTAGGTTAGGTTAGGTGTATGAAGGTCTTGTGGGATTAGGTTAGGTTAGGTTAGGTGTATGAAGGTCTTGTGGGATTAGGTTAGGTTAGGTTAGGCGTATGAAGGTCTTGTGGGATTAGGTCATTTATTAAAGTAAGATGAAAAGAAATATGTGGGTGGGTGGGAATACAGAGGTGTGTGTAGGTAGGTATAAGACGAGGAGGGGGGTGGAGGTGGTCGGCAGGAGGGAGGGACAGGTAAAAGGGTGGCTGGGTGGCTGAGAAGGGGCGGCCAGCAGTGTGGTTAAAGGCAGCAGACGGACAGGGAGATGCGGAAGGGTGGAGGGACAGCGATGTTCGGTCCCCGTATAGACAGACCGTCACCACCACATCAACAACAACACGACACCATCCAGACCAAAGGTAAATACATTGTCATACATTATATATACATTGTCATACATTATATATACATTGTCATACATTATATATACATTCTCATACATTATATACAGTATACATTGTCATACATTATATATACATTCTATATACATTGTGATCCATTCTATAAACATTCAGTGATCCATTCTATAAACATTCAGTGATACATTCTATAACAATCAGTGATCCATTCTATAAACATTCAGTGATCCATTCTATAAACATTCAGTGCTACATTCTATAAACATTCTATAAACATTCAGTAATACATTATATAAACATCGATTAATTGTGACGTTTTTAGTGTCTATAGTCTAAGGTAATGTTTATTGCTTACACGTTATGTAAACATTTTAAAGGGCGTTGCTTCTAAGTGTACATAAAGTCGTGTACACCTCCATAAAGTGTATTTAAGTCGTGTACACCTCCATAAAGTGCACATAAAGTCGTGTACACCTCCATAAAGTGTACATAAAGTCGTGTACACCTCCATAAAGTGTACATAAAGTCGTGTACACCTCCATAAAGTGTATTTAAGTCGTGTACACCTCCATAAAGTGTACATAAAGTCGTGTACACCTCCATAAAGTGTACATAAAGTCGTGTACACCTCCATAAAGTGTACATAAAGTCGTGTACACCTCCATACAGTCGTGTACACCTCCATAAAGTGTACATAAAGTCGTGTACAAAGTGAGACAGGAAACCAAGTAAAAGTGTGTTAGGTTGTTCATCATATTTCGTGTTCCAGTGAGTGAACTAACAGACAAACACAGACACAGACACTTGATTGTTATACCCGTCTTGCTTTCGGTATACGGCATAATAATATCTTAATGAGGTGTACATATGTCTTGCTCAATACACCTGTCTGTTGTGTGTGTACATATGTCTTGCTCAATACACCTGTCTGTTGTGTGTGTACATATGTCTTGCTCAATACACCTGTCTGTTGTGTGTGTACATATGTCTTGCTCAATACACCTGTCTGCTTGTGTGTGTACATATGTCTTGCTCAATACACCTGTCTGCTTGTGTGTGTACATATGTCTTGCTCAATACACCTGTCTGCTTGTGTGTGTACATATGTCTTGCTCAATACACCTGTCTGCTTGTGTGTGTACATATGTCTTGCTCAATACACCTGTCTGTTGTGTGTGTACATATGTCTTGCTCAATACACCTGTCTGTTGTGTGTGTGTGTACATGGTGTCTTGCCTACTACACCTGTCTGTTTGTGTGTGTACATAAGGCCTGCCCAATACACCTGTCTGCTTTTGTGTGTACATATGTCTCTAGCTCAAATACACCCTGTCTGTTTGTGTGGTGTACATATGTCTTGCTCAATATGTCTGTTCGTTTGTGTGTGTACATATGTCTGTTCAATACACCTCACCTGTTTGTGTGTGTGTACATATGTCTTGCTCAATACACCTGTCTGTTTGTGTGTGTACATATGTCTTGCTCAATACACCTGTCTGTTTGTGTGTGTACATATGTCTTGCTCAATACACCTGTCTGTTTGTGTGTGTACATATGTCTTGCTCAATACACCTGTCTGCTTGTGTGTGTATATATGTCTTGCTCAATACACCTGTCTGTTTGTGTGTGTACATATGTCTTGCTCAATACACCTGTCTCTTTGTGTGTACATATGTCTTGCTCAATACACCTGTCTGTTTGTGTGTGTACATATGTCTTGCTCATCACACCTGTCTGTTGCAGGTGCACATATGTCTTGCTCAATACACCTGTCTGTTTTGTGTGTGTGTGCAGCCTGTTCAATACACCTGTCTGTTGTGTGTGTACATATGTCTTGCTCCAATACACCTGTCTGTCGTGTGTACATATGTCTTGCCTAACACACCTGTCTGTTGGTGTGTGTACATATGTCTTGCTCAATACACCTGGTTCGTCTGTGTACATATGTTCCTGCTCAATACACCTGTCTGCTTGTGTGTGTACACATATGTATTGCTCAATACACCTGTCTGTCTGTGTGTGTATATATGTCTTGCTCCAATACACCTGTCTGTCTGTAAAATAGCCATACTTGCCTGAGCACACCTGTCTGTTTGTGTGTGTACATATGTCTTGCTCAATACACCTGTCTCTTTGTGTGTACATATGTCTTGCTCAATACACCTGTCTGTTTGTGTGTGTACATATGTCTTGCTCAATACACCTGTCTCTTTGTGTGTACATATGTCTTGCTCAATACACCTGTCTGTTTGTGTGTGTACATATGTCTTGCTCAATACACCTGTCTGCTTGTGTGTGTGTTTATATATAGGTGTGAGTAGTGGAGGTGACGTTCATTACTCGGTACACACACATAAAATAAACCAGGGTGACTAATCATCATCTCATTCATAAGCAATAACGCGTCAAGATATCATTATATAATTACGATAACATAACAGGTACGATAACATAACAGGTACGATAACATAACAGGTACGATAGCATAACAAGTACGATAACGTGCTAGATATACAATAATATACAGTTACGTACGATACTCACCACTGAGGGTTGAGAACAATATTCTTGAATCATTGACAAAAATATCTCTACTGTTTCTCATTATGTACGTTGGTCATGTACGTATATTGAAGCCATGTGTGTGTGTGTGTGTGTGTGTAGTCATACGCTAAGAATGTAAAGGGGGAAGGGGTAGACCAATGGGGGGTGGGGGGGGAGGCCTTGTTTTCATAGCTGGCTGACAGATGGTTGTGTTAGGAGCAGAACATGGTGAGGTTAGGTTGGTAAGGTTAGGTTACGTTACCATAGTTTAAGTTAGGTTAGCTTAATCAAAGTTAGGTCAGGTTAAGTTACCATAGTTTAAGTTAGGTTAGCTTAATCAGAGTTAGGTCAGGTTAAGTTACCATAGTTTAAGTCGGGTTAGCTTAATCAGAGTTAGGTCAGGTTAAGTTACCATAGTTTAAGTCGGGTTAGCTTAATCAAGGTTACGTTAGGGTAGGTTACGTTAGGTTACGTTAGGCTAGGGTAGGTTACGCCAGTCACGCCACGCCAGGCAGGTCACGCCAGGTCACGCCAGGCCAGGCAGGCCACGCCAGGTCACGCCACGCCAGGCAGGCTACGCCAGGTCACGCCACGCCAGTGGGCAGGTTGGCCAGGTCACGTTACGCCAGGTCACGCCACGCCAGGGTTACGTTAGGTTAGGGTAGGTTACGTTAGGTTACGTTACGTTAGGGTAGGTTACGTTAGGTTACGTTACGTTAGGGTAGGTTACGTTAGGTTACGTTACGTTAGGTTACGTTACGTTAGGGTAGGTTACGTTAGGTTACGTTACGTTAGGGTAGGTTACGTTAGGTTACGTTACGTTAGGGTAGGTTAGGTCACCGTCCTCCAGGTTACCAGCACGGCAGAACACGTCATGCAGGTGTTGGCAGGTGTGATGGCGGCTTCCCCACATTCCTGCCAACACCGAGCAGAGGAATGGCGGGGTGGCAGCTCTCTATGGCACACCAAAATAGTCTCCTTATGATGTTAAAAGGCAGACGAGTTAATGTTAGGGGACAGTACCACGAACGGTCAAATGTTAGGGGACAGTACGGCGCTAAAACTTGTATTTGATAAAGAGACAAACTTACTCTTTTATTTACCCCAAAACAATTTTAAACTAACCTAACCAAAACCTAACCTAACTTCACCTAAGCTAACCAAACCTAAGCAAATCTAACCTGGACTAACACCCCAAGTGGCACAAATATACCTCTACTTGACACCTGACACAGTTATATGACACTACTACCTATTGGCACCAGTGTTATCGTACGCCAGTGTAATAATGGTTGCCTCTCCTGTAACGAGGATGGTCGGCCCAGGGGCCACCTGGGCATGAATTTGTTTAAGGTGTAGAAGATGTCGCAACACAACAACAACACCCTGAGTTAACGAGCTGCATGACCCAGTGTTTAGGGTGTAGAAGCTGTCGCCAACACAACAACCACACCCAAGTTAACAAGCTGCATGACCCAGTGTCAAGGAATAGTCCGAGACGACCGGACAACTCACCAACTGCACTGGCTAACCATTACCCCGGAACACAATTAACATCCAGGTCCCCAATTACTGCTGGGTAGACAGAGGCAAATGGCGTAAAGAAACTTGCCCATAGTTTTGCCCTGCCTGGGGATCAAACCCGTGTCCCCCTGCTTGCTTGATGAGCATGCTGACCATTACACCACAGGTCGCCAATGTAATATATAGTAAGTGTGTTATACTGCACCATACACCCTCCCGGCCAGGCCCTCGACCACAGGGGGGTGGGGGGTGGGGGTGGGGGGTGTTCTGTAACCACGAACACATATGGAAGTAATTTAACCTTAACGTGACGTATACATTTAATTATACATATGAATAATGATGTATAGGTTGATGAGGGTTATACATTACTCCGTGAATGACACACAGGTATGGTTAGGTTAGGGTTTATGGTTTAATAATGGTTGACGAACTTAATTGCTCTTTTAAAAACCCTTGTGTGTGTATAGTATAGATAGAACGGTCATAGAGCTCTCTGACGCACTTAAATACTGAGGATAATTTGTACTTGATGGAGGTGCCAAAATTGTTGCCTTATCCGACGGTAACCTTGAGAGAGAGAGAGAGAGAGAGAGAGAGAGAGAGAGAGAGAGAGAGAGAGAGAGAGAGAGACCTAATGAAATAAAGAGAAAAAATTAACCTTGAGAGAGAGAGAGAGAGAGAGATTAACCTAATGAAATAAAGAGAAAAAATTAACCTTGAGAGAAAGAGAGAGAGAGAGAGAGAGAAGGGGGTCGCCACATCTATATATAACTAAGATAATGTAGACACACATTACTCCTCGCTACTCACGTCTACCCTGCCACAGCCTCTCTCCTTCCCCCACTCTCTCTCTCTTTCTTTCTCTCTCTCAAGGTTAAGTGTGTGTGTGTGTGTGTGTTCAGGAGACGTTAAGTGTATTTATTAGGCCAAGAAAATCACGAGCGCCATTGTTGACATGCGGCGAGTCTGGGAACTAACCGAAATGCCAGATACTGCTATATTATATAATTAATAGTTTAAGAAATTAACCTAACCTAACCTAACCAAACCCAACCTAAGCTAACCTAACCTAACTTAACTTAATCTAACCTACCTAAACTTGTGTTTTGCCTCAATATCGTATGATTTAGGTTAGGTTAAGTTAAATTAAATTAGGTTAGGTTAGGTTAATTTTACAATAAACTGAATTTACCTCAAAATAAGAAAAAATACCTAAACTGGCAACTCCACTTCAAGCGACGCATGCGCAGTCGGTTTGTTATTGTTTACATTCTCTCACGCAGGACCAATATGGCGACGACGAGTAGCAAAGATCGAGCCTCCAGCACCCCAACCGAGTGAGTACTATGGCGTGTATAATGTGTACTAAAAGGTGTATAATATGTACTAAAAGGTGTATAATATGTACTAAAAGGTGTATAATGTGTACTAAAAGGTGTATAATATGTACTAAAAGGTGTATAATATGTACTAAAAGGTGTATAATATGTACTAAAAGGTGTATAATATGTACTAAAAGGTGTATAATATGTACTAAAAGGTGTATAATATGTACTAAAAGGTGTATAATATGTACTAAAAGGTGTATAATATGTACTAAAAGGTGTATAATATGTACTAAAGGTGTATAATATGTACTAAGACTCCCATGAATGATGTATAATTTGTACTACATTCCAGAGGAGGAGAGGGGAGGGGGCGCCCATGGTCCACCCAGGTGTAAATGGGTACCTAACGTTACAGTTGAGGAAGTGAAGGTGGTTGAGTACAGTGTCTCTCTCATCATCTCACAAATATATCTCACTCGCCACCTGCCAACTATCCTTTATATGTGTGTGTGTGTGTGTGTGTGTGTGCATGTGTGCTCACCACTCTAACTCACTCCACTCCACTCCACTCCCCACCACCCCACCCCCACCACCTCACTCCCCACCCACCCTACCCCCACACTCTCACTCCCCACCACTCCTACTGCTCACCACCACTCCCACCACCCCACTCCCCACACTCTACCCCCACACTACTGCTCACCACTCTACTCCCACCACTCTACTCCACAGGTCCATCTCCCACACACTCTACTCCCCACACACTCTACTCCCCACCACTCTACTGCTCACCACTCTACTTCCCACCACTGTACTCCCCACCACTCTACTGCTCACCACTCTACTTCCCACCACTGTACTCCCCACCACTGTACTCCCCACACTCTACTCCCCACCACTCTACTCCCCACCACTCATCTCCCCAACATTGTCTGGTGGTGTTGCTCCCTCTGGGTGTGAGGGAGAGGTTATTAATAAGCCACCTTGTAGCCTGTGCCAAGCCTCTCTAGGGACACACCTGCTCACTATAATAATGATGATAATGATAAAAGTAAATTAAATATTAATAAGTAATAATAACAACAATAAAGTAGTAGTAATAATAATAATAATAACGATACTATTATTATTATTACTTTATTATTATTATTATTATTACTGTTGTTTTCGTTGTTGTTGTTGTTATTATTGTTGTTGTTGTTATTATTGTTGTTGTTATTATTAGGTTCTGAACCCCTAAACTAGTGAACCCATTCCTAACACCCACACTGACAAGCTGATTATCTCCACAGGTCCGGAACTCAAACTGATATTGAGACCGAAACCCGAAGTGAACCCTGTCCTCAAGCTGAAACCGAAATCGGAACCGGAACCTGAACTAAAGCTGAAATTGAACCCTGTACTGAAGTTTAACCCTGTACCGAAGCTTAAAACGAATCTGGAACCGAAGCCGGAACTAAACTCTGAACTCAAGCTGAAACTGAACCCTGTACCGAAGTGGAAACCGAATCCGGAGCCGAAGTTTAAACTGAATCTGGAACCGAAAATAAAACCGAATCCGGACCCGAAGTGGAAACCGAATCCAGACCCGAAGATAAAACCGAATCCGGAACCGAAGTGGAAACCGAAACCGGAACCGAAACCGGAACCGAAACCGAACCCGGAGGAAGAACAGGCTAAAGAAGAAGAGGAAGATGCAGGCCCTCACAGTGACCTGCTTTGTCCCCTGTGTAATGACCTGTACGACGAAGATAAGAGAGAACCTGTACTACTTCCTCGTTGTGGTCACACCTTCTGCAGGCCCTGCCTCTCAAAGGACTCCAAGAAGGGTCACTTCCCTTGCCCGACCTGCCGCAAGAGGCATATTAAGCCTGTAGTGTCTGACCTACCCGTACAGGCTGACCTTCTGGCTAGGGTCGAGGCTTATAGGGACTCCAAGGTAATTATGTCTGTGTGGTGGGTCGGGTGGGTTATGGTGGGTGGGGTCGGGTGGGTTGGGGTCGGGTGGTTATGGTGGGTGGGGTCGGGTGGGTTAGTTATGGTGGGTGGGGTCGGTGGGTTGCGGTGGGTGGGGTCGGGTGGGTTATGGTGGGTAGGATAGGGTGGATTATAGTGGGTGGGGTCGGGTGGGTTAGGGTGGGCTGTGTGGCTTAGGGTGGGTTAAGGTGGGTTATGGTGAGTGGGTTAGGTTAGGCCTGGTGGGTTGGAGTGGGTTAAGTTAGGTTATGCCAAAAAATCATATCTAAATTACTCCTAAAAAAAAACATTTAATTAATGAAAAAAAAATCCATTCAAAAATAAATTCAAATAGAAAAAAAAATAAAAAAATAAACCAAATCCCATCAATACATCGTAGCTCTGGTGTCACTTTCTAGCTAGGACAGTGTCAGATCCACAACCTGGCACTGTCATACTGGTGCCGGCAGTGCCAGTCCTCCCTGTGTGGCAACTGCTCCGTCAAGAAAGGTCATGATGTAATACGAATGAAGGAATTACTTGACGAGAAGAAGGAGGAACTAAGGGTTCAAGGAGACGCCATCTTGAGTAATGTTGTGGAGGAGAAGCAGAAAATTATGATCAAGGTGAGATTTTTTTTTTGGGGGGGTGGGGGGGTGATTATAGCTCTGGTATATGTTATTAAGGACTACTACTACTACTACTACTACTACTACTACTACTACTACTGTTTTTATTATCGTATTATTATTATTAATCAACAGGTAAAGGAATGCTCACTTCAGCTACTACGAACGTGTGAATCAAGTTACCTGCCGGACGACTCAGCCCAAGACGTTAAAGAAATGTTGTCTGACACCAAATCCAGCGCTGACTTCCACTTCCTGACGGGGAGCTTAAAGCGTATGAAGAGCATCCTCGGAAGCTTGAGTAGAAGCCCCAGTGACAGTGAAATCTCCTCCTCTTCTTCCTCTCAGGGCTCCAAGACTCCCAGACTGAGGAGAAAGAGAGAGAGAAAAGAGAATCAACACAAAGACCAGAACACAGATCTTACACACGAGACCAAATCAACACATCGCTACTCTTCTCCACCACAACCTAACTACGTCACCAATAACCCCACCAATCACAGACTACAGGGAACGACGTCACCGAATAACAATAACAATCTCCTGAGCCGAACCTCACAACCATACGGCAGCTTAAAGAAGAAATCCACCACGACAGAACCCGCCAAAGATGTCAAATACGCCCACTATTCTCAGATGTACGGAAGCCAAGGTACTTCAGGCAGCAGTAAGGCGGTGGTAGCGAGTCATGGGCCTCTCCTGGGCTTGTTGGATCAGTCGCTGTGGCCGCTCAGGTGTTGTGTATATGATGATGATGGCCGGAGAGCTCGGCTATCGTGGGAGGAAGGTCGGCTACACATGTTTGCCCTCGGGGAAGATATTGACGATGCTCACTTTATGATAAAGGTGAGAGAGAGAGAGAGAGAGAGAGAGAGAGAGAGAGAGAGAGAGAGAGAGAGAAAAAAAAATATACTCATCGATTAACTATTGAGATATTGCATTATGTTTATGTATATATGTTAAACTATTTGACAGACAGACACACACTCATCACCCTGCCTAACCCTTACAGCTGGCGGTGGTACAGAGCATCATCCCACAAGACAGCCCTGAGGTGTTCCTGGACCTGACAGCTAAGGGGCGTCCATTAGGGCGTGTGTACATCAAGCTCTGGGGTCAGCTACGGAGGGCCCAACACTACCTGGCACTCTGTATGGGCACTCATGGCCCTTCCTACCGGGGTGCCAAGTTCGAGGAGGTGTACTCTAGAGGGCTGAAGGGTGAGTGCCTTCATGGAGGGCCATATTTGACCCCTAGAGGTGACCTAAGTGCCCAAGGGGTCATGGATAACCTAGAGTGGGACGGGAAGTTCAAGGGCCCGCAGCAGAAGGGCCTGTTGGTGGGGGCGGGGAGTGGACGACCAGACCGTGACTCATGCTTCGATATTTGTACCATAGAGAACACCTTCAGGAGCTTCGCCTGCCCCTTCGGTGAGGTCACAGGTGGCTGGGATACCGTCCTGGCCGCCGTCGCTCACAGACCCGTCAGGGAGGTCACTATGTATGATGTAGGCGTGGTTATGCCTGACCTAGCGCCTCCCACCACCCAGTGAAGACACGCCCCCTTACAATAGCAAACCTGTATTATACTTGTGTGTTTTCTTCTGCGATTTATCAAAGTTCAGATCGTGGTCTCAAGAGGTCAAGTCAGGTCAGGTTAAGTCGGGTTGTTTTTGGCCAACTAACTAACTGGTGTTAAGTGAATGTATCGAGTTAAGGTAGTCTCTCAGTGTGATTTCAATCCCGTCGTTCCCTTAACTTCGCCCAAGGAGTTAAAACACTCTCTTGAATCACTAGTTAAGGAGAAAAATTAATAACAAATCATCTAAACCAGGTAGTTATGGGAGACAACTTTAACTTACGAACAACTGAGAACCTAACCTGCTTACCTCGCTGCCAGGAGTCAAATGAGTGTCTTAATTAACCCTAAGACTTTAATCATTGTTAAGGGTATTATTCTGCTCCAAGTTAATGTATTAAGTTAATTGATTTATAAGTTAGTTCATTAAGTTCATTAACCTAAGGGTGTTGAATTTCCACATTGTGTTTGTCTTTTAAAGCTTCTGACCAAACGTGATAGATAAAGCTTTTATTTATGGGAGTTAACATAATTTAACCTAACCTAACCTAACCTACGCTAACCTAACCTATTCCTTACCAAATCTACCTTAACCAAACCTAGCCCAGTCTAATTTAACTTAACCTAATCCAACTTAACTTACCCAAACCTAATCAATCCGACCTAAGCTAATTTAACCTAAGCTGACTTAACCTGACCTAAGTTAACTTAATCGTATCGAAGCTTAATTTCTTTAACCTAACCTAACCAAAAATAAATTGGGTTAAATTATGTTAAGTGTTAAAATTAATGTCATCAACAAACAAACATTGACAACTTCTTGTGTATAAAAAGATTATCTAATCTTAACTACTGTGAAACCTCCATTTAACGGACTGTACAACAAAGGAGTCCGTTAAATGGAGAGTCCGTTAAATATGAAACCAATTAACGGACTATTATGACCTTTAAAATAATAATACGGGCCTTTAAAACACCATACGGTCTTTTTAAAACATCATACGGGCATTTCAAAACATTATACGGCCTTTTAAAACACCATACGGGCCTTTTAAAACACCATACGGACCTTTTAAAACACCATACGGACCTCTTAAAACACCATACGGGCCTTTTAAAACATCATACGGGTCTTTAAAACATCACGTGAGCCTTTAAAATAATCATACGGGCCTTTAAAACACCATACGGACCTTTTAAAACACCATGGCTACGCCTTATAAAAATCACCTCATATACGGCCTTTAAAACACCATACGGGCCTTTAAAAACACCATACGTCTTTAAAACACCATACGGGCTTTTAAAACATCATCATACGGGCCTTTTAAAACACCATACGGGCCTTTTTAAAACACCATACGGGCCTTTTTAAAACACCATACGGCCTTTTAAAACACCATACGGGCCTTTTAAACACCATACGGCCTTTTTAAACACCATACGGACCTTTTAAAACACCATACGGACCTTTAAAACATCATACGGCCTTTTAAACATCATACGGGCCTTAAAATACCATACGGGCCTTTTAAAGCACCATACGGGCCTTTTAAAGCACCATACGGGCCTTTTAAAACACCATACGGGCCTTTTAAAACACCATACGGGCCTTTTAAAACACCATACGGGCCTTTTAAAACACCATACGGATCATACAAAATCTTGAAAAATTATATAAATTATTTTTAAAGTTTTGAGATTTTTTTTAATTGTAAAATTTGTCCGATTAATAAAACAATTATATCAACAGGTGTGTTTATCTCTACCTGAGTGACGTGATAGATAGATAGATAGATAGATAGATAGATAGATAGATAGATAGATAGGTAGATAGATAGATAGATAAGTAGGTAGGTAGATAGATGGATGGATAGATAGATAGATAGATATAGATAAATAGACAGATAAAAAGATAGATAGATAGATAGACAGATAGATAGATAGACAGATAGATAGATATTCTTAGGTCAAGTGTTAGTACAAGAGGAAACTGTACTTGACCTCTCCACATACTGAACTGTAATGATAAACAATTGAGATGAAATATTACGTAAAACCAAGAAACAGACAGACACAATGTTTATACACCCAGGTAACGTTGGGTATAAAGACAAACACAGATATATAAACACCCAAGACGCGGAATAATAAAAATGTAACAACAAAGAAAATGAAAACGAAAAGAAAATATATAAGATAAAATCGACAACAAAGAAAAAACAAGAAAAATAAATAAAATCGACATAGATAAAATATTATAGAAATACAACTTTAATTATATATTTCTGTTTGCGCGCCAAAATCTTGTTATCATTCGCTCTTAGTCGCTGCGTCTTTGTTTCATGCGGAAAAGCGCGGGAAAACTGGATGGCCAACGTTGTGTTTGGGGGCCGCCTGCCGGAAGTGACGTCATCACCCCTCGCTCCCACCGGAAGTCGCCCTCATCTCTCCCCGACCAGGCCATTCTCGACCCCATGGACCCCGTCAGGATGGTCGAGACTCGGGTTCGGTTCCCGGGTGTGATAGGGCCAACCAAGGAAGACTTTCTCCCCCCCCCTTGAAATAACGCGCCAAGAATTCTGGCAAGTGGATACCCCGCCTCTGATATTCTAAATTGATTTTACGGAACGGCTTGTGGTTTTGTAGCTTTCACAGGGCCCTTGAAGCTGACGGTGGCTGACGGGGGTACTAGCTGACGGTGGCTGACGTGGGTACTAGCTGACGGTGGCTGACAGGGGTGCTAGCTAAAAGTGACTGACGCAAGGTTAAGGGAAGCTAAGTGCTGTCAGTTGCTACATAAGGTCTGTAGATATCTGTCTAAACAGAGATTTTCCTGACACCTTGTAGGCCTTTGAGAGGCTTGTGGCTGACGGTAGCTGACATAAGCTAAGAGTGTCAGCTGATTCTAATAGACTCCCAGTTATCCCTTGAGAACAAAGAAATCATACGAAGATCTTAAGCTGACAATCCTGACATCTAGGGCCTTCCAGTGACTTATGGCTGACACAGGCTGACACAAGGTGACACATACAGTCTCAACACACTTTGTCGGCCATATTGGATGAAAACCTGTTGTTATTATTGATAACTAAAGATGCTGATTTATTGAAGGGTGTCGGGGTAGGGTGTCAGGGGTGGAGGGTGTCAGGGGTGGGTGTCACAGGGGTGTCAGGGGTTAGGGTGTCAGGGCTGGAGGGTGTCAGAGGTGGAGGGTGTCAGAGGTGGAGGGTGTCAGAGGTGGAGGGTGCCGAGGGAGGGTGTCAGAGGTGGAGGGTGTCAGAGGTGGAGGGTGTCAAAGGTGGGAGGGTGTCAGAGGTGGAGGGTGTCAGAGGTGGAGGGTGCCGGGTGGAGGGTGCCAGAGGTGGAGGGTGTCGGGTGAGGGTGTCAGGGGTGGAGGGGTGTCAGAGGTGAAGGGTGTCGATGTGAAGGGTGTCGGGTGGGAGGGTGTCAGAGGTGGAGGGTGTCGGGTGGAGGGTGTCAGAGGTGGAGGGTGTCGGGGTGGAGGGTGCCGGGTGGGAGGGTGTCAGGGGTGGAGGGTGTCAGAGGTGAAGGTGTCAGAGGTGAAGGGGTGTCAGGAGGTGGAGGGGTAAGCCGGGTGGAGGGTGGCCGAGGTGGAGGGTGTCGGGTGGGAGGGTGTCAGAGGTGGAGGGTGTCGGGTGTCAGGGGTGAAGGGTGTCAGGAGGTGAAGGGTGTCAGAGGTGAAGGGGTGCCGAGGTGAAGGGGTGTCAGGAGGTGAAGGGGTGTCAGGGTAGGAGGGGTGTCAGGGGTGGAGGGGTGTCGGGTGGAGGGTGTCAGAGGTGGAGGGTGTCGGGTGGAGGGTGTCAGGAGGTGGAGGGTGTCAGGGAGGTGGAGGGTGTCAGAGGTGGAGGGTGTCAGGGGTGGAGGGTGTCAGAGGTGGAGGGGTGTCAGAGGTGGAGGGTGTCAGAGGTGAAGGGCAGGCCGAGGTGGAGGGTGTCGGGTGGAGGGTGTCGGGTGGAGGGTGTCAGGGGTGGAGGTGTCAGAGGTGAAGGGTGTCAGAGGTGAAGGGTGTCAGGGTAGGGGGGTGTCAGGGGTGGGATGGTGTCAGGCGGGCCAGTGAGGCGGGACCTGCCGCCGCGTATAGACGTGGGGTTGTTGCTCTCTCTCTCCCTCGTATCTACCACCACCCTTTATACCCCTCACGATAGCCTTCATCTCTCTGTGTCGGTCTGTTCTGCATTAACCTTATACCTACATACACACAATAATTATCCTATAACCCTCCTTTCCTCTTCTCTCCTTCTCTCTACCTCTTCTTCTTTCCTCCTTCCTTCCCTATTCTTCTGTCTCTCCATCACTCCTCTTCTAACCTCTTCTCCCCTCCCTCCTCCTCCTCCTCCCCCACAGGAAGGAAGGGATGGAGGGCTGTAACTCTTTTCTCTCGTTATGATGGAGTTCGGGAGGAGGAGGAGGAGGAGGAAGTAGTGATGGAACAAGGACAGAAGAGCAAGGAGAGGGTTAAGTAAGGAGAAGAGAAGAGGTGGAAAGAGGAAGAATGGAGGAAGGTGAAGGGAGGAGGGAAGGAAGGGAAGGGAGGGAAGGTGGAAGGAGGGAGGAAGGAGGGAAGGTGAAGGGAAGGAGGAAGGTGAAGGAAGGAGGGAAGGTGAAGGGAAGGAGGGAAGGTGGAAGGAGGGAAGGTGAAGGGAAGGAAGGTGAAGGGAAGGAGGAAGAGAAGGTGAAAGGAGGGAAGAAGGAGGGGTCGAGGAGTGAACGGTAGTGTGGGAGGGTGAGTGTTGCTTCCCCATACGAGCCCTCTGAACCTCCGGAAATTGGGGGAGGAGGGGGAGAGGAGGAGGGGAGGGAGGGGAGGGGGAGAAAGAAAGATTTGAAGGAAGAGGTAAGAATGGAGGAGGAGAGATGATCAGGGAGGGGAGAGAAAGGGAGAGGATGGGGGAGGAGGATGAGGGAGATGAAGGAAGGAGGGAGAGAGGGAAGGAAAAAGGGGGAGGGAGAGGGGAAGAAGGAGGGAGGCAGAGGTAAAGAAAAGGAGAGGGAGAGGGAGGGAGGGAGAGGGAGAGAGGGAGAGAGAGGGAGGGAGAGAGAGGGAGGGAGAGAGAGGGAAGGAGAGGGAGGGAGATAGGATATATCTGATGAATGGGGACGAAATATGGCCGCTGTAAACACTCCTGAAGGACCCTTAAGGACCACACCAGGGTCCTGAGGTCTCCTGGAGGACCCTTAAAGACCATACCAGGGCCCTGAGTCTCCCGGAGGACCCTTAAAGACCATACCAGGGCCCTGAGGTCTCCTGGAGGACCCTTAAAGACCATACCAGGGTCCTGAGGTCTCCTGGAGGACCCTTAAGGACCATACAAGGGCCCTGAGGTCTCCTGAAGGACCCTTAAGGACCATACCAGGGCCCTGAGGTCTCCTGGAGGACCCTTTAGGACCATACCAGGGCCCTGAGGTCTCCTGGAGGGCCCTTAAAGACCATACCAGGGCCCTGAGGTCTCCTGGAGGACCCTTAAAGACCATACCAGGGCCCTGAGGTCTCCTGGAGGACCCTTAAGGACCATACCAGGGCCCTGAGGTCTCCTGGAGGTCCCTTAAAGACCATACCAGGGCCCTATGGTCTCCTAGAGGTCGGAACACGGCAAAAATGTATCAATGCAGTATACCATTTTAACTCAGTCTCCCCAAGTCACGTTTTCTTTGATGATGACGAAGATGGGAGTAGAGCCGGAAAGGTGTACAATAAATAATGAATAATATTAAAATGTACAACTAAACACACACACACACACACACACACACACAGAAGTGAAAAATGTATAGAAATCTGATTGACGTGTGTATGTGTGTCATGTAAATATCCGCCATCTTTTTTTTATTATTTAGTAAACATTTGTAAATATTGTCCATTAACGCCAACACTTACTGAGGACCTTACCACAATATGGGACAATTTATTCGATTTTATTTTATTTATTTTATTTATGAGATTATCAAAATTTTCTTATTTTTACTTTTGATAAGAATCTTTCGGCAAGTTCTTAAATGTTCAATAATAATAATAAAAAAATTATTACGACATAAATGGAATGTCTCTGAACCCCGAGAGTCAAGACTAGTGAATCCGAAGCATTTATGAATAGACTAATACATCACTTTACTGCTCCGGGTTCACGAATCTGAATCTCGAGTAAGTGGTTCAGAAGAGTCGACAAGGGGACATATCTGG